GATGAGGAGCGGAGGTGCAGATCACTTTCCGACTCCCCCGGGCTAGAATGCAGAGGTGGCCCGGACCCTCCCAGAGTCCACGCCTCGCACCTTCTGCTTCAGGACTAAGAGAAGGACTGATGTCCATCTGTCTGCCTATTTGTCTGTTTCCATCAGATACAGCCTGAGGGAGGGAGGGAGAAAGGAGGACATGCTAGAAAAAGAGCAATAGGCCTGGTGCAGTGGCTCACGCCTGTAATCTCAGTACTTTGGGAGGCTGAGGTGGGTGGATCACTTGAGGTCAGGAGTTCGAGACCAGCCTGGCCAACATGGTGAAACTCCATCTCTACTTTAAAAAAAAAAAGTTAGCTGGGCATGGTGGCACGTGCCTGTGATTCCAGCTACTTTGGTGGCTGAGGCACAAGAATTGCTTGAACCTGGGAGGTGGAGGTTGCAGTGAGCTGAGATCGTGCCATTGCTCTCCAGCCTGGGCAACAGAGCGAGACTCAGTCTCAGAAAAAAATATATAAATAAATAAAAAATAAAAATAAAATAAAAAAGCAATAATTCCAGCCCCCAGAGTTTCCCTGCCAAGAACATCATCCCATCTCATCCCCACTTCACTTTCTCCACTGGCCCCGGCTTGCCTGAAACACTCCCTGTCCATTTGGTGTCAGGACCCCCTTCCACTCTGAAAAATTATTGGTGATCTCAAAGAGCTTTTGTTCGTGTGGGTTATAGCTATTGGAGTTTGCCGTATTAGAAACTAAAACTGAATAGTTTTTGAAATAGTTCTTTATTATTAATAGTTATTTTAAAATATCAATAATAAACCCATTGTATGTTAACATAAAATAACAATTTTCATGAAAAAGAAATGTATTTTCCAAAACAATAACAAAAACGTGGTGAGCAGAGCGGCACTGTTTTGCATTTTTGCAAACCTCTGATGTCCGCACCTTCACCTCATCAGAGCCGCTTCTGCGTGAATCTGCCGCGAAGGGTTGTCTGGGAGGAAGTGGATGGGAATAATCTAGCCCCACATGGGATAAGTGGTTCGAAAGGGCAGGGTCTTATGGCCGCTGAAAGGGCCCCAGGGACCTCAGGGATCCCCCACACCACGCTTTGGGAACCACTGCTCTCAGTCTTTGGCTCTGACCCTGACAGCCTCTGTTCCTGTCCTCCCCCTTTATCACATCCCCAAGCTCTGGTCCCATCACCTCTAAGACACATGGGCCCTCTCACACCTCCTGGCTTTCACATGTGACCCTCCTTAGGTCTGGAATTCCTTTCCCTTCCTTCTCTGCGCAGCAAACGCTTACTCATCCTTTGAGACTCAACTCCGAGACCAACTCTTTCGTGAAGCCTGCCCTAATCCCTCTCTCCACCTCCAGGCACCAAGGGTTGCCCAAGCCTGGGACTGCCACCGTCTAATTCTTTCTCCTCGCTCCTAAGGAGCAGGTGGTTGGCAGGGAGCTCCCCAGAGGGAGGGATCCCTCTTGGTCCACTCTGCCATCCTGGGTGTGGGGGCACGTTAGGCTTTGTGGAATAAGGGAAGTGTTTTTTTGAGACAGAGTAGTCTTGCTCTGTTACCCAGGCTGGAGTGCAGTGGCACCATCTTGGCTCACTGCAGCCTCCGCCTCCCATGTTCAAGCGATTCTCCTGATTCGGTCTCCCGAGTAGCCGGGATTACAGACATCTGCCACCACACTGAGCTAATTTTTGTATTTTTAGTCGGGATGGGGTTTCACCATCTTGGCCAGGCTGGTCTTGAACTCCTGACCTCAGGCGATCCGCCTGCCTCGGCCTCCCAAAGTGCTGAGATTACAGGTGAGAGCCACCGCGCCCAGCCTGGAATAAAGGAATTTGGGCATGAAGGGAAGGAAGGAGAATTCCTGCTTCTTCTAGAGTGGAAAGTGCTCCAGGAAACACCTCTCAGGCTGGGTCTCTCAGTTTGTTCCCTTCCGACTCCGCTTGGGGGCTGAGGCTTAGGAGAGGGAGAATTCAAATCTACTTCCTCGCTCTCTCCTATTCTTCTCGCCACCTACTTCCAAGGACAGCATAGGCTGAGGCTCCAGCTCCCCAGCTGTGTCTGTGGGAACTGGCTGTCCCCGAGTCCCTGCACATGGGGGTGTGTGTATGTGCATTTGTGTGCATTCGTGTGTGTGTACGTGTGTGCATATGTGCCTATGTGTGTGACAGGGACATCACAAACCCTGCTTTCTACTCTTAAAAATTATTGGTGATCTCAAAGAGCTTTTGTTCATGTGGATTATAGCTACTGATGTTTGCCATATTAGAAACTATAACTGGCCAGGTGCGGTGGCTCATGCCTGTAATCCCAGCACTTGGGAGGCCGAGGTGGGTGGATCGTGAGGTCAGGAATTCAAGACTAGCCTGGCCAACATGATGAAACCCCATCTCTACTAAAAATACAAAAATTAGTCTGGCGCAGTGGCAGCTGCCTGTAATCCCAGCTACTCAGGAGGCTGAGGCAGGAGAATTGCTTGAACCCAGAGGGTGGAGGTTGCAGTGAGCCAAGATTGAGCCACTGCACTCCAGCCTGGGGGACAGAAAAAAAAAAAAGAAAAAGAAAAGAAACGAAAACTGTGAATTGTTTGAAATAGTTCTTTATTATTAATGGAGTGCCTGTTAACCAATAATTATAACCAATTAATTATTATTGGATGCCTGGCAGACATCCAAACGAGTGAACCCCTGAGGGTCCCAGGACAACAGGGAATGGTAGGGACTGTGGCAAAGAGGACCCACCCAACGAAGCAGCCACAACTCCATGCCAGCAGAGCCCACCTGCTAAGAGGAGCTGCAAGTTCTTACTTTCAGGTAAAACCTTCAGATTTTTAAGTGTTGTCCTAAGTTCGTAACACACTGTGCTGGTCCAAAGGACATCAGTGGTCTCAGGGTCCTAGAGGTAGATGCAGAAGCCTCACTGGGTGTGGAGTGGGGAGGAGAGGGACTCAGCCAGGGGACTGTGTTTTACAAGCCCTAACCAGGCTTCCTTCCAGGGATCCTCCCTCGCCCTTCGAGCAGCTGTGATTGACAATTTCCCCCAACAGTATTGATCCCCGCCCCTCAGGAGAGCACTGAACTTCATGCAGAAAGACCAGAACTGGCACACTCAGGAACAGGCCTTTGGAGCCTGGAGGGACCTTAGTCCGGCATAGAAGCTGAACCCTGAGGAGTCCAGGGACTTGCCTGAGGGGGTGCAGCCAGCGCTGGGCCGCAAGGGAGCGTGGGCACTCCTGGCCACCTGCCTGGACGCATCCTCAAATGCCGCCCTGCCACGGAAACATGAAACACTGCTCCAAGCAGCCCAGCCGCACTGAAAGCCAACGCCCCACCTGTTGTTACCTTCCACTAAATTTTCCAACTCCGCTCCCTCCCTCCTCCTCCACGCATGGCCTCTTCACCCTTGGTGGCTTTTTCTGGAACCTTAAGATTTCACACGGTATTGAACTTGGGAAGGAATTCAGTTATGAGACTGGGACCTAGCAAAAAACCAACCTAAACATCAGCACGGTCTTTTATGAGTTCTTCTAAGGGTAACAAAATAAATAATTTTAATGAGAGAGAGGCAGAGAGTGAGACAGAGAGGATTTTACAGACGATGAATGTTTTTCCTTGGGGTCCATTCTCCCCTACTCCTCTGCAGTATCAGGAGCGAGGGGTGGGCACCCACAGCCTGGTGCTGGAGTCATTTTGTGCACCTGGGATAGAACAAGACCCCAGAGGTCGAGTCCCTCCACTCATTTCCGGCTGACAGCAGGATGTCACTTGAGGCTGGAGATCCCGGGGCATTGGGAGAACTCCTGATCCAGCTCTTATGGTGCCTGAAGTCCTACCAGCCCAGCTCTGGGCTTGAAGGGCTTTTTCTCTTCTAAAGACATTTATCAAGGTGTGAAAATTCTGGGGAGAGAGAAACGCCCTCTGCTGCCTACCCCATCTTCTGCCTGGCCACTGGCTGGATTCAAGAGCCACAAGGTCATTTGTGGGCAGACAGGTCTTAGCAGAGTCTGAGAGGAGAAGGGGCAAAGGTGAGCCCAGCGGAGTGGTCCCCTTACATTTGGAAGCGCGGAGGTGGGTACCCCAACACAGCCTGGGGAATTCAGGAAAGGCTTACTGGGGAAGAGGCTTTCATGCTGGGTCCTGAAGCAGGAGTAGGTGTGCATCAAATGAAAAGCAGGGAAGGCAAGCGGGGCCAGGCAGAGGGCACAGCACACGCAAAGGCCCACAGACAAGCTCTATAGGGCACTTGGTATGGAGCAGGAGGAGGTGCGAACCATGCTAAGGAGTTTGCTCTTCCCACTGTGGGCAACTGGGAGCTACCAAAAGCTCTAAGCAGGGAAAAGACCAAATTAGATTTGTAGTATAGAAAAGCTTGCTCTAGCAGGACACTGTGGCTCCCGCCTGTTATCCCAACACTTTGGGAGGCCGAGGTGGACAGATCACCTGAGGTCAGGAGTTCCAAACCAGCCTGGCCAACATGGTGAAACCCCATCTCTACTAAAAATACAAAAACCAGCTAGGCGTGGTGGCATGCGCCTGTAATCCCAGCTACTCGGGAGGCTGAGGCAGGAGAATCGCTTGAACCTGGGAGGTGGAGGTTGCAGTGACCCGGGATAGTGCCACTGCACTCCAGCTTGGGCGACAGAGCAAGATCTGTCTCAAAAAAAAGAGAAAAGAATAGAAAAGAAGAGAGGAAAAGCCGCTCTACTGTAGTATGGAGACTGCAAGGATGGGGATCAAAATGGAAGAGGGGGCCAGGCAGGAAGTGATTGCAGGAGTTCCGGTGATAAGTGGTGGTGGCCTAGACCCCGGTTGTGACAGGTGGGATCAGGAGGTCAGTGGTCCAGGGCAAGGCGGACAGCAATGCCCCTCCATCTGAAGCCCCAATCATCTGGACTCTGACCCTGGGAGCAAAATGCATCCCCCTCCCTGCTCCATCAGCCCCCCATCCTCCCTGCTACTTAGCCACGGAGACAGGGTTTTGCCATTGGTACCTGGCTGGTCCGGGTGATGCAGCGGCGGACGAGGTCTCTGATGTTGTTGTGCTTGTCGGTCTGGAAGTACACGGTGGCGCTGGATTTATCCTTCAGGTAGGGCTTCTCAGCTGAGGCCCAGCTGTGCAGTAGGGCTGGCTCGCTGCTCTCTGAGGCCACGGGGAAGTAGGTGCCGGACTGTAGGGAGCTGGAGTCTAGTCCCTTAGGGCCTGTCTCTGCCCCTCCCAGGGTGTCTGGGGGACAGGGGCGCTCCCAGGCCTGGGCCTGGATGTACTGGGCCTCCACCGAGGACAAGAAGTCCACCTCGCCTTCCTGGCTGAGCACCCGCCAGTAGGCTTCAGGACCCCCATCCAAGAGGGCGTCCGTGGCCAGCCGGGCACTCTCGTTGTCACTAAAGTCAGCCCTAGCTGGCCGGACCCACTGGCTCTTGACATCTTCCAGACGCTTCCGGATTTTGCCCAGGTGCCTTGACCGGCTCATGCCGCCCGTCCCTGGGTGGTGCTGGGGGAGGCTGGCACGTCAGCTCCTCCAGATGTGGGAAGCAAATGGAACACACCACGGAGGAGTGGGGCTCCCACACCCCCGGGAGGCCGCCTGATCCCAGTACCGGCGTGCAGGGCACCTCCAAGAAGTGATTTACCGCTGTCCTGAGCAATGCTTCTCAGAACTCCTCATCTGCAGCCGAGGGATTGGCTTATCTCTCAGGGCCACCTGCCCTGCCCTCGGGCCGGGAGGGCTGGCTCAGACACCACCTTGGCACAGTCAGTCATGGGATATTTCCTCTCCTCCCAGCCGCGGGGGGAGGCGAAGGTGAGCCGGCTTTCCTGCTGGGTTTCACAACTCTCCCTCAGGCCTTTGTTACCAAGCAGGGAGCCTCCCCAGCACCACCAGCCCAGCTGGAGGATGGGCCTGAAGGAGGCCTGCCTGCCTCTGCTCCCCTCCTGGATGCCTCGATTCCCACGCTGTGTCAAAGATGAGAATTTCCCTGTGGCGGGAAAGATGCCATCCCTGAGATGCCTCCCCCCGCCCCATGTCAGGAGGGAGCTGGACACGGGCCAGGGAGAGCTGTAGACCAGGTGCGCCTCCTCTCCTTGGTCACACCCAAGTGCCCACCCCTCGCTGCCCTATGAAGGTGCTCCTCTCTCCCATGCCTTCTCAAGTGTCATTGTCATTGTCCTGTTTGCAGAGACCGCAAAGAGTTTCCAGTTCTCAGGCCAACGCTGCCTTGCTGGAAGAGGCTGCTTGGAACACCGTCTGGAGAACGAGCCAAGGCTGCCCGCAGCCCACGAGCCCAAAGGACCAGTCGGTCTTGGTGCTGGAGCAGGAGGAGCAGCACGTGGGTCTGAAATCCATGAACTCTGAGGGGAGTGACCACGTGTTCTTTCCAGATCAGGTCGTGGCCTGACAATGGGATGAACTGCCTAAAACCCTGACTCTCTTTGATTGGGCTCTGGTGGAAACAGGTTCTGAGACTAGGATTTGAGTACAGGTGGTTAATCAGAAGGTCATTCCGAGAAGCACAGAGAGGAATGGGGAAGAGAGACGGGAAGGGAAGGAAGCCAGGCCAGGTGAAGGTGATGAGCAGGCCACTGTTGTGGACATCTGGGTTCATGGACATCTGTGGGGACATCACGGGTTTCCAGCCTGTGGGAACCTCTGGGTGATGGTGGCAAATACATCTTAAGGTTTTCCTGCCCAAAGGGTGAGAAAGCTGCAGAGTTTATCTAAGGAGTCCTAGTTATCATTGGCTGAGGGCTGCTCCCGGAGCCAGTTCACCAAGCACAGCCCTGAACCCAGAGAAAGTCTTCGGGCAGTGTCAGGTGCTACAGGCAGAGAGTGCTGTGGGAGTGGTGAGGAGTGAAGAAATTAAAGCAAGGCCCTGACGCTATCTGCTCAGGGACGACAGCAAGAAATCAGGACTGTGTGGTCTTCAGAGAGCCGGGATATGGTAAGAACTTGATGTCTCTCAGTGGCATAGCCATTCTTTGGAGAAAAACAGCCGTGAGCACCTGTAACCCTACTGTAGCTGTGTCTTGTGCCTCAGCCCAGCAGTACCACAGTGTTTTTTAAAGTGCGGTGCGGCCGGGCACAGTGGCTCACGCCTGTAATCCCAGCACTTTGGGAGGCCAAGGCAGGTGGATCACTTGAGGTCAGGAGTTCGAGACCAGCCTGACCAACATGGTGAAACACTGTCTCTACTAAAAATACAAAAATTAGCCGGGCCTGGTGGCTTGGGCCTGTAGTCCCAGCTACTCGGGAGGATTAGGCAGGAGAATCGCTTCAACCCAGGAGGCAGAGGCTGCAATGAGCCAAGATCACACCATTGCACTCCAGCCTGGGCAACAGAGCAAAACTCTGTCTCAAAAAATAAAATAAAATAATCTCTTTTCTCTCTCTCTTTTTGGAACATCGAAGGAATCCAATTCACAGTCTTGAGCAATCCTCTCTTTATCCTATTTTATCTACTCCCTACAATCCCTGGTGGTCAAAGAGACAAACCCAATAAACTCTCTCTCCCATTGCCTTTTGGATCTATGCCCTTTCCCTTCCGCCTTTTGCTAACTCTTGCTTCTGTAGATTGACGGAAGCCCTTTTCCCACATCCTCTTCCCATCTTCCCTCCTCTCTGGTCTGGTCTGTGTCCTCCTCAGGCCATTCTCTGTTCCTGCATCACCCAAGTCCTGTCCCCAGTCTAGCGAGATAGACCCCGGGGCAGGGCAGTGGTCCATGGATTTGCTCAGCTTCACTCCATGGCTCCGAAGCTGTCCATAGACTATGCTCTCAGCGACCAGTTCCCAAATTCATTACTAGAGAAGTTTCTCTGAACGTGTAGAGCCCTGGGAACTAGGAGGGGGAGGTGAGCGTTTTCTCCTGAGCATGAGGTGGCTTTAGGTATTGCTTCATGGCAATTTGGCAACTGCCATGTGCCATTGAAGATGGTTCTTATCTTCCTCTTTCAGAGGAAGAGGACACAGTCTGAGTGGTTCCCATTTATGCTAATTTTTTAAAAAGTTGTCAATTGCTCCCCGTTGCCTGTTAAACTAAGTGCCAAGTCTTGAGCCTACCTGAGACCCTGCACAAAATGGTCCCATATGTTCATTCGAGCCTGGCTTCTCCCGTAGTTGGCCATCGCTGAGTGCTCACTGCTTGCTGGTTCTCTGTGCTGAGAGAGAAATGGATTATTAGTTCTCATTTCACTAAAGAGGAAACCAAAGCTCAGAAAGGTTGAGTTACTTGCCCAAGATCACACAGCTGGTAAATGGCAGAGCCCATGTACTTTCCACTATTTCAAGCTTCACTTTTTTCTTTCCCATTCACCTTCCCTTTCTATTCACAGTGCATTACAAATCCTCTTATTGGTTCCTGAATATGTGTGGGGAAAACTTTAAAAGTAGGTGGGTATTCTGGGGTTCTCCTTTCACCTGGACCTAATTCTCTTTCTTGGTTGAATAAATGCTTGAGTGTCTCCCTGAGACAGAGGTATCTGTGACCTATAGGGACCATTTTCTCCTTGTCCTCTCACAGAGCAGCTCTTTAAAACAAAACAAAAACCCGAATCTGAATGAAACTTCCCCTCTAGAGTCCTGCTTCTGTCCCCAGCTCTTGGTCCTCACACAGACCCAAAGATTCCAGTTGAATCAAGATGAATACATGTTGGTGTCACTCATCCTCCATCCCTGGCAGACATTACTAGTTGATCATAGGATTCTGCCAGTGAGCTGGAAACTGTTCTTTTGCCACTCTTTGTAGGGATTATCTTAGTTCATTTTATGCTGCTCTAACAGGATGCCACAGATTAGGTGATTTATAATGAACAGAAATTTATTTGGCTCATGGTTCTGGAGGCTGAGAAGTCCAAAAGCATGGTGCCAGCATGTGGTGAGACCTTCTGCACTGTACATCCCATAGTGCAGGGCGGAAGAAAGAGAGAGAAAGAAGGGGCCGAACTCATTTTAACAAACCCACTCCTATGATAGTGACATTAATATATTCATGAGGGCAGAATACTCACGGTCTAATTACTTCTCATTAGGCCCCACCTCCCAACACTTTTGCACTGGGGATTAAGCCTCCAACGCATGAACTTTAGGAGACACATTCAAACCATAGCAGGAATCACAGAGAAGTCCTCACCTGAAGGAATGCTGAAGGTACTGCAAGCTCTTCAGTTACCGATGAGAAAACTGTAGCCCAGAAAGAGGAAGTGACTGTTCTCAAAGTCATCAAACTGGTTGGTGATTCTCATCAGCTTAGTCTCTCATCTCTCCTCTGCAGCCCAGCCCTGTGAAGTGTCCTCATTCTTGCCCGCTGCAATAACAAACTTCCCCAGCTAGGATTGCACTTCTGAACCAGGAAGTCTGGCCAGCTGTTGAACTGCACGTTCATACCTTGAAAAATCCTTATCAAGGAGCCCTCAGTGACAGGCACTGTGAATTATGGAGGACTCCACTTCCCTTCTTCCTTCCTGTGGCCATCTGAAGTGTGGTTGTCTCCTTTTCATGAGGTCATCCAACAATCAGAGAAAGGATGAGAAGCCAGACTCCTGTTAATAAATGAGTGGCATATTGGGGCTTCCTGAAAATTCCATTTATCTAGGACAGCGGCACTCAGCTGGAGGCGATTTTGGACCCCCATCCAGGGGACATCAGGCAACGTCTGTAGCCATTTTCGGTTGTCATTCTGGGGGCGTGGGTTGCTAACTGGCGTTAGTGAGAATAAGCCAGGGGGTCTGCTACATCCAACAACACACTGGAAAGTCCCCCACAGTACAGAGCTGCCTGACCCAGAACACGTGTAGCGCTGAGGAACACCCTTACAGGTGACCGATGTGGGGATCCCAGTCTCCTGCCATTGTTCAGTCTGTTCCCCCAGTCCTTCCCTCCACCATCATAACTTATTCAAATCTTTCCCAGCGTTCAAGGTCTATCCGGAATCTGACCTATGCTAAGAAGCCCCCCTGGTGAATTACCAAGCGGCTGTAACTGCTCCTCCTCTGGTCCGCAAGGCGTTTGTAGAATATGTCTCAGGCAGTCTTGTCCTGGTCATGGGTGTATTGCCCCATCTCCCACTGCTTCTAATTCCTTGAGCAGTGCAATGGCAAAAGGCTTACATGAACTCTGAGTTGGGCACAACTGTGTCCAGACTGTGCCTATGATAGGGGACCTCAGGAAGGTATCATAGAGGACCTCACTGAACTTCACTCTTCTCGTCCCTATAGTGACAGCTAACAATTGTGGGGCACGTCCTATGTGAGTGAGGTGGTGTCCTACATCATTTTCATGTGCTAACTCACTTCAGCCTCATGACAACCCTGTGAGTAAATGCTATTACCATTCCGTTTCATGCATGAAGGAAATAAGGCACAGCGGTAACCTTAAAGGGTGTGAGAACTGCACTGGGTGGTCAGTGAACAAACCTTGTCCTCTCCTTGGCTCTTTAGCCGGAGAGAGTGCCAGTGTTTCTTTCTGAGTTTTCTACATCATTGATGTTATACTCTCCTTACAATTTTATATATCTTGCCTTCTTTTTTGCTTAGCATTACTCAGAAGTGTCTTTTCCATGTCATTAAAAGTGTGCATGCTTCCCTGCTCCACACTTCCCTTCTCTTTTCTTCTGGAACAAGTCAGTCCTAAAGCCAATGGGTGGGTCAAAGCAAGGTGGGTGTCAGCGGTGGGAATGGGCTTGGTGGCTCAGAGCATGTGTTGGAGCCCAGGCCAAGTGAGGAGGTGCAGGGGACTGAGGGGGTGAGGAAATGTCTGCATAGGGTGTGAGGGTGTGTCCTCACAGGGACCAGTCGGAGCCCAAACAGGGCAAAGAGGGTGTCCATGTGGGCAGGGGAGCTGCCTAAAAGGGGTGTCAGATCTCTAGCTGGAAGAAGTGGGGGAAGATGGGACATTGGTTACCTACAGGAGCATTGATCAAATAAACAAATAGATTAACAGTAAGGGAAACCAGGTTTCTTACTGTCAGAGCAGGAAGCACACATGGAGAAAAGGGGGAAACTGAAATGGACTTGTTAGATATGAATTGGAGGCACCAATTTGAACTCACAGCTTTCAATAGAGATAGATAAACTTAGATAGATTAAAAAAATACATATAAAATATTTCTAGAATTTGTTTTCTGTATTTATATTCTATTCATTTATAATATGTATTATAGATTCTCCTGTTCTGTCTGCTGACAGTGACGCTCAGACTGCAATGTGTGCCCAGGGCTTCTTGGAGAAATGGCCGATTTCAAGTCCAGAGCAGACGAAGTACAAAGTGATCATGGAGCATCTCACGCCAGAAAGCAGGAAGGAGCTCAAAGAGTGATGAGGCCATGTCAAAAAGACATGGAAGCCAACTTGGAGGGGTTCCCACTGGCTTACCTGGGACAATCTGAGGATGAAAATCATAGCCATAAAGGATTATAATGCATGAAATAATGTAGGAAACCACAAGACCAGACTAATACAAATAAACACATATTTTGAAAGTTTGAGAAGGAATGGGTTGAAATTTCAAATAAACTCCCGACAGGGCCTGGTGGCTCACACCTGTAATCCCAGAATTTGGGGAGGCCAAGGTGGGTGGATTGCTTGAGCTTAGGAGTTTGAGACCAGCCTGAGCAACAGGGCAAGACCTTGACTCTACCAAAAAAAAATTAGTGTGGTGGTGCGTGCCTGTAGTCCCAGCTACTCGGGCAGCTGGGGCAGGAGGATCACTTGAGCCCAGGAGGTCCAGGTTGCAGTGAGCCGTGTTCGTGCAAGGCACTCCAGCCTGGGCGACAGAATGAGTCCTTGTCTCAAAACAATAAAATAAAATAAAATAAAATAAAAATAAACTCCCCATAAAATACTTCAAAATTACAAAGGGGAACAAGAAACTTTACAACACAGACACTTATCAGACACCACCCTAATCAAGGGATCAAAGTCATCCTCATTAATAAAGGGACAAACTGAAATCTTGAGCCACCTGAGAGGATGCAACAAGATGACAGAATCACTTCTGTGATGTTCCTGGCAAAGATACATGATCAGAATCGAATTAGGAGGAAATATCAGACAAAGCCAAATGCGAGGACATCCTACAAAGTAACCGCCCTCTCATCTCAGAACTATCAAAGCCAGTATCTTAGGGAGGTCTGGGGAACTGCTCCATAGTGAAGGAGACTAAAGAGCTCTGATAACTAAATGCAACGCGTGATTCTGCACTGGATTCTTCTGCTGTGAAAGACATATTGGGACAGTTGGCAGAACTTGCAGGGGACCTGAGGATTAAATGGCAGCAATTTATCACTGTTGATTTCCCAATTTTGATGGTTCAATTGTAGTTTGTAGGAGAGAATCCTAGCTTGTAGGAAACACACAAAAAGTAATAGGGATGGTGGCGCATTCTGTCGGCAGCTCTCTCTCAGTGGTTCAAAAGAAAGGAAATGGCCGAGTGCAGTGGCTCATGCGTGTAATACCAACACTTTGGGAAGCTTGAGCCAGGAGTTCAAGACCAGCCCGGTAATACAGTGAGACCCCCATATCTACATTTTTTTTTTTTAATTAACCAGGTGTGGTGGTGCATGCACCTGTAGTCCCAGCAACTTGGGAGGCTAAAGTGGGAGGATTGCTTGGGTTGTGGAGGATGAGGCTGCAGACAGCCATGATCACACCACCACCCTCCAACCTGGGTTGCAGAGTGAGACCCTGTCTCAAAAAAAAAGAAGCAAGACCCTGTCTCAAAAAGAAGAAGAAGAAAAAGAAGTAACAGGAGGAGGAGGAGGAGGAGGAGAAAGGAAATACTTTGTACTGGTTTTGCACTGCTTCAATAAGCTTTTGATTTAAAAAAAAATGTTTTTTAGGCCGGGCGCGGTGGCTCACGCCTGTAATCTCAGCACTTTGGGAGGCTGAGATGGGCGGATCACGAGGTCAGGGGATCGAGACCATCCTGGCTAACATGGTGAAAACCTGTCTCTACTAAAAATACAAAAAATTAGCTGGGCGAGGTGGCGGGCACCTGTAGTCCCAGCTACTCAGGAGGCTGAGGCAGGAGAATGGCGTGAACCCGGAAGGCGGAGCTTGAAGTGAGCCGTGATGGCGCCGCCGCACTCCAGCCTGGGCGACAGAGCGAGACTCCGTCCCAGAAAAAAATTTTTTTAGGTCATCCCATGAAAAGGAAACAATCAGAAAGATCCGGAACATGGGACAATCTACGAGACAACAGACAACAGGCAGGGTGGGTAGAGAGGGCAGCGGCAGGGACGGATAGTCCTGTTGCATACACTCTGCATCCTGGCGCAGACCGGTAATGTTTTTCCAGATGAGGAAACTGAGGCACAGGGAGGCTAAGTAAATTCCTTAAGGGCCCCATGACAGAGCCTGGATTGGGCTTGTCTGTAACTGCTGGTTTAAGCGGGAATCTCCTCCTTTAGGCTGTGAACAATTTGGGGTGGGGGTGGGGCCAGACATGACTTAGCTTCTTGGAACTCCAAGTGCCTATCCCAGTTTGGGGCTGGGACATCCAAGGCACCGAATGAGCACTTGTTAAACGAACAGACGGCGAAGAGCTCCTGAATCACAGGCCAGCTCACGCGGATAGAATGCACACAAATAGGACTCTAGCGCTTGTTCACGGGGCAGGAGTCAGGCCAGGGACACAGCGACCTGGAGGAACAGGGTGCCTGTTTGACCTCCAGGGGCGACTGCCACCCTCTCCTGCCACTTCCTCATCAAGGCCTGCAGCAGCATGAAAATCATACAGTCTCCTTACCCAATGACCCGAGAAGTGCAATTAAGTTGAAATTAGTTGGCATAATCAATTAGATGGGTAAATAGCTCCCTGTCAACATCAATCAATCCATTCTGCCTAAAATCAGCTCAGCGAAGGCAGGCTGAGGAGCCCCTGCAGCGCTGGCCTCTGCTGGCGGGCAAGGTCAGAGAGTGGCAGCCGGAACAGCCCAGGGTGTCCTGCCGGTCACCCTAGACCCCACTCCCCCATCCACAGGTCCTTTACAGTTGTGTGTTTTTTTTTTTTTTTTGAGATGGAGTCTTACTCTGTTGTCCAGGCTGGAGTGCAGTGGCACGATCCAGGCTCACTGAAGCCTCCGCCTCCCGGATTCAAGCAATTCCCCTGCCTCAGCCTCCTGAGTAGCTGGGATTACAGGCACGTGCCACCAAGCCCAGCTAATTTTTGTATTTTTAGTTGAGACAGGGTTTCACCATGTTGGCCAGGCTGGTCTTGAACTCCT